CAGATGACAAAGACACACATGAAAAAGCACACAACATCATTAGCCATTTAGGCAAATGTAAAAGCAATATATCCTAAAACCACAATTGAGATACCACTACACAGCTATGAGACGGACTAAAAAAAACCCACCCAAATACATAAAAACTGACTATACAAAGTGCTGATGAGAAAATGAAGCTACTCTGATATACCGCTTACAGGAATGCAAAATGGTGCACTCTACAAGTCTGGCAAGTGCCTTATAAAATTATATGCAAATTTACCATATAATCCAGCAAACCCACTTCTAGGCACTTACCCTACAGAAATATAAACTTAAATCCACACAAAAACCTGTATGCAAATATTTATAGCACATTTATCATCATGAACAACTCAAAACAATCCAAATGTGCCCTACAGGTGAATGGATACTGCATAGCATCACAAAGGAATGAACTGATAAAATACCATGGACAGAACTTCAAAGCTAGTGTGCTGAGTGAAAGAAGATACTCTCAAAGTTTACATACTATATGAATCCACTTAGATGGCACTCCAACAGCAAAACTATAGAGACAGGAATAAATCAGTGGTTGCCAAGTGAAGAGAGAGGAGAGATTAACTACAAAGGTGACAGAACTACTTTTTATGCTGAATGTGCTGAGTTATAGGAATCTATGCATGTGTTAAAACTCATACAAGCATGCATTTAACTAAAAATGTCAAACTTACTACTTATAAACTTTAAATGTATTAATGAAAAAGTTCTCTTTTAATTACTCCACTGCTATGTCTATTTTTTATTAAAATAAATTACTACCAAAGCAAATACAAGTTTCCAAAAATAATGAAGTGTATTACATTAAAGAAAGAGGTTTTGGACTTCCATTTCCAGAAACAGCCCATACAAAACATTCAAAGAAACTCATCCCAATACTGAATTTCCTCAAAATGCTTTTTCAAAGTTATCAGAGCTTATTGGCCAGGGGTGGTGGCTCATGCCTGTAATCCTAGCACTTCAGGAGGCCAAAAGCTGAAGCTTTGCTTGAAGCTGAGAGTGGGAGACCAGCCTAGGTAACACAGTGAGACCGCATCTCAAAAATTTAAAAATCAGCTGTTCATGGTGGCAGACACCTGTAGCTACTTGGAAGGATGGGCGAGAGGATCACTTGAGCCCAACAGGTCAAGGCTGCAGTAAGTCATGATCATGCTACGGCACTCTAGCCTAGACAACAGAGTAAGACCCTGTCCCCCAAAAAAGTTCTTTTTAATTTTTTTGCCAGACACAGTGGCTCATGCCTGTAATCATAGCACTCTGGGAGGCTGAGGTAGGTGGACTGCTTGAGCTCACAAGTTCGAGACCAGCCTAAGCAATAGCAAGACCCTGTATCCACTAAAAATAGAAAAACTCTACCCAGGGCAACACCTTAAGACTCTGTCTCAAAAAATAAAAAAATAAAATAAAAATTAAATTTTTTTGTTGGAGTTAAGGTTTTCAGGCTCTTTCCAGACTACAGAGTCCTTTTTCTTTTGAGACAGAGTCTCATTTGTCATCCTCAGTAGAGTGCCCTAGCATTCCAGCTCACAGCAACCTCAAACTCTTGGGCTCCAGCAATTCCCTTGCCTCAGCCTCCCAAGGAGCTGGGACTACAGGAGTCCACCATAACACCCAACTATTTTTAGAGATGGGCGGTCTCACTCTTGCTCAGACTGGTCTTGAACCTGTGAGCTCAGGCAATCCACCCACCTCAGCCTCCCAGAGTGCTGGGCTTACAGGCAGGAGCCACCGTGCATAGCCATGGGCTACAGAGTTCTTTTCAGGCTTCCTTGCAGTTTTGCAAAGACCCAAAGATCCAGGAGGAAGGAATTTAACAGCTGTGACTAGGCTGTAGTAGGCCCATCACAAATGCTTGACCCAACCTTGATCCCAGAGTCTTCACAAATGCTTACCGAAGATCCCCAAGACAATTCAGAGGCCTCTCCTAACTTCTCCAAAATGTTAATAAATCGAGTCTCATTGCTAGCACCAATTTCCCTTCCCCTCTACCAGAAGGTTTTACCCAAAAACAGGATAAAAGAGAAAGCATCTTTCAGAGTAGCAGAGATGGCTGGCTTCTTATAAGCAGAAGGAGTGAGGACGATGTTATCTGAGCAGAAAGGCCAGCAAGACTGAGACATCTTTTACTCAACAGGCTTTCTCAGCCTGAAAGAATGACAGACACTGGACTTAATGGAGTTCAGAACAAATACACAAGTGACCCATTCAAATGCTGCTGCAGTTCCTCTATATGTCACAGATGGGATCCTTCTGAAAATGCTAGAATAGGGAATTACGGTAATGAGCCAATTTTATCATAAACCTTATTCTTGTACCTTTGTTTTTTGCAGGTAATTTTACGCAGAAAGTTGAGAGAGCTACTCTTTGCTAGGTCAGAACACATACCAATAATTTTGATAACTTATGATGAGTTCTGTGACATCTTTTTCTTGTATTTTTTCTTATTACCTCAATACCAGCAACTTATGTGTATAAGGGATCTGTGTAATTTGAATGTTTTTGAGTAACTTCAGTATACTTCAGCTCTACTATTTTTATTTGACCCAAAGAATCACCAGTAGGTCTCAAGTGCTGCTATGAGTTTTAGAAATTAGAAGTCAGTGAGATAAAGCCCAACATCAAGAATCTGAAGTAAAGAACTTGTGGGAAAAGAATGTGAAGGAACATTGGGTAGTTTGATTAGATTTCCTAGGTAAAAAAATTGCAATAAAAGGAAAATATGATGTGTTGTATTTTCACTGTGTTGCAGAAAATAAAATGTGTATATAGAGAAACATTAAAATTGATATCTGAATACCTTTAAAGAAATAAGCACATCAGAGCTTATAGTAAAGGAAACAATGGGAGGCAGAAACAAGTACAGACAACTTCCGGCTAGCAGTATTCCAAAATCCAGAATTTTGGAGGTTTTTATACAGGTAACACACTAAGTTTAACACATTAGCATATTAATACCCTAGCAGCATCTGGGACAATACTACCTAATTAAACACAATCATATTTCTACAGTTAAGTACAAGCCTGTACTCACATAGGATAAGTATAAGCACCCAAGACAAAAATTTTTTTTTTTTTTTGAGACAGAGCCTCAAGCTGTCCCCCTCGGTAGAGTGCCGTGGCATTACAGCTCACAGCAACCTCCAACTCCTGGGCTCAAGCGAGTCTCCTGCCTCCGCCTCCCAAGTAGCTGGGACCACAGACGCCCGCCACAACGCCTGGCTTTTTTTTGGTTGCAGCCATCATAGTTGTTTGGCGGGCCCGGGCTGGGGATTCGAACCCGCCACCTTAGGTGTACGTGGCTGGCGCCTTAGCCGGTTGAGCTATAGGCGCCGAGCCAAAAATTTCATTTTAAATGGTGCCAGGAGAGTAGTAAAGCAGGCCTAAGTACATAGCAAAAGTAAATACAAATATTCCAGAAATAACCTAATTTAAACAAAGTACCAAAAAAATACCCCACAGATAAAAGTCCAAGAAACATCAATGAATCCCCAACAATAAAAAGTCCAAGAAACACATTCATAGTCAAAAATCACAAGCTACCACAAGTGTGAATCTGAAGAAACAAAGAAATGTTGAATCAGATAGACACTGTAGACAGCAGAATTATCAAACAATGTATATATGTTCAATAAATTTAAAAAAATAAAAGATGAGATCAAAAACAGGATGAAGAGTGAAATAAACTATGAAAAATGATCACACAAATGTGAAGAAAAAATAATTTTTAGAAATGAGATTCAATAACTTTATTTGGTTTCTTTGAGCCACAGTCTTGTTATGTTGCCTGATATGTTAGAGTCCTAGGCTCTAACAATCCTCCCACCTCAGCTTCCCAAGTAGGTGGGTCTACAGGCATATGCTGCCATGCCTGGCTTATAATAATTTAACCATGAAAATAACATGCTAAAAAACTGACCCAGTAGCAGATCAGACTCAATTTTAGATAATCAATGAAACAAAAAATCTAAAGAAATCACCTACTCCTTTGAGACTCAAAGACTAGACAAGAGGAAAGAAAAGGAAAACATGGAAGCTCTTTAATTAAAATTCTAGACAGTGATAATTAAGAAACAAGTACAGCCAGGCACAGTGGCTCACAATCCTAGCACTCTGGGAGGCTGAAGCAGGTGGATTGCTTAAGCTTAGAGTTGGAGACCAGCCTGAACGAGAGTTAGACCCCATCTCTAAAAAATTAGCCAGGTGCTGTGATAAGTGCCTGTAGTCCCAGCTACCTGAGAGGACTGCTTGAGCCTAGGAGTTTGAGGTTGCTGACCTAGGGTGACAAAGTGAGACTCAGTCTTTTGAAAAAATTAAGAGTACCTAATTTCTAAACTAATAAATAGAAAAGAAGAAAGAGGTGCTACTGTCAAAATCTTGGGTTTTAATCCTAGCTCCACACTTACATGTACAATGTCAGACAAGTTACTTTCTAAGCTACAGTTTTCTCATTGTGAACTGGGATAATAATGCCAGCTCACAGAGGTGTTGTGACTTAAGTAAAACCCGGAACTCAATGAATGTCACTTAGTGGCAATTTAAAAAATAACAAAAAATTTATACTCTGGTTTCTCTTCAGATTGCATAAATCTTTTGCCTTTTACTAAAAAAGTAACAAAACTCTTTACCTGCAAAATGCACTAAAATAGCCATAAAATTAAGACTGAGGCAGGGAGGAAATAAGGGTGTCTGGAAATTCAAAATCTGTGGAAGAGAAAGGTGGGATGCTTGACACTCTTCATTTGTAATCTGCTTACACACTTCTTAGCAAATCCAGTCCTTCTAGATGTCTTTCTGCTCCTTTTTCATATACTGATCTGACTCTACATCACTCTCCAAATGCACCCAAATTTATAAGCAGAGGAGAAAAGAAACTGCTCCAATACTTTTATCCCTCATCTTAAATTCTGCTTTGTGAATTAAAAAAAAAAGAGAAGCACAGAAGAAAATCACATACTTACTTTTCATTAGTTTTCCTGATAAATCCTTCAGTGGAGAAGAGGGATTATTTCTATTGGCTACTATAAATCTGGAGGATTCTTGGGTTTCCATGGAAACTTGATGAGTTCCTGCTCTGGCCATTTGCAGATGGAGAGAGTGGGCACTACCACATTCCTGGGAAAGCAGCAAGTGATTCTGAGTGCTATTAGTTCTATTATTCAGGTCAATGCCTTCTGATTGAGTCATAAGCAACTGGGCTGAGCTAGAATCCTCCAGTCTCTTATCAAGAGACTCAGTTACAAAAGATGCTGTACTTTCGTGCTTTTTAGATGGAGAGACAGGCTCAGCCAGTGAGCTCTGCTTCACTGTGTTCAGAGTGTGTGCTCTTATTCGGGACCACGTTGTAGAGTGAAAACTTTCAGCCTCTAGCCAAAATTTAACCAAATGTTCCATTCTCCGAAGTTCCATGAATTGAATGAAATAAGGGAGGACAACAGTATCATGCAAGACTTGCTCAAGGGTCTTTGAAAGACTTGATTTGGTCTCTTGAGTCTGGTAGTCCAGACAAGATCTGCCTAGAAGAGCAAAACAATTAGCAGTTCAGTAATAATTTCAAATTGACAGAATAGTCCATCACCTTTAGAAACACTGGTATCAGAAGTCTTGAATAAAATTTACTTCCTACCAATTAAAATGAATAAAAAACTAGAAATACTATGGTTTTGATTTTTCAACAAAGTGAAGAAACAACTGCTCAAACCTTATCTAAATTATTAAAAAGTTCTTTGGTACTCAACACCTATAGCTTTTTAATTTCAACATATTGAGGAGGTACAAATGTTTTTTGTTACAGAGATACCTTTTATAATGTTTAAGTCGGGGCTGTTAGTGTACCTATCAACCAGGTGCTGTTCATTATACCTGATAGGCAGATATATCCCTTTTAATGGAAATTCAGACCATATAAATTCTTAAGAAAAAAAAAATCTATGTACTAGTCTGAAAGGAAGAAAAAGAACCAATAAAAATATGAAAAAAATAGGCTGGGTGCAGGGGCTCATGCCTATAACCATAGCACTCTGGGAAGGCAAGGCAGCAGGACTGCTTGAGCTCAGGGGTTGAAGACCAGCCTGAGCAAAGAGCAAGACCCTATCTCTACTAAAAATAGAAAAATTAGTTGTGGCTGGCACCTACAGTCCCAGCTACTCGGGAGGTTGAAGTAGGAGGATCAGCTGAACCCAGGAGTTTGAGGTTGCTGTGAGCTACGCCGACGCCAAGGACAGAGTGAGACTCTGCATACATACACACACCCCCCAAAAGAAAACTATTCAACCTCATTAAAAACTCCAGAAAAGCAAATTAATACAAAATGATATTTCTGCCTATCAAATTGGAAAACAGTTTTTCAAAAAATAACAAGCTAAGGCAAACAGGCAACACTCTCATCCACTGGTAATGAGAATGTGGCAAATCTGGCACGTTCTCAAATTTTGCCAAATAAACTGGCAAAATCTTTTTGAAGGAGCTTACAGGCAATAAAGCCTTATCTAATGCACGATTTTCATTTCTTTTCTTTTCTTTTGAGACAGAGTCTCAAGCTGTTGCCCTGGGTAGAGTGCCATGGCATCACAGCTCACAGCAACCTCAAACTCTTGGGGTTAAGCGATTCTCTTGCTTCAGTCTCCCAAGTAGCTGGGACTACAGGCACCCACCACAATGCCCAGCTATTTTTTGCTGCAGTTGTCACTGTTGTTTTTAGCTGTCCCAAGCTGGGTTCGAACCTGCCAGCCCCCGTGTATGTGGCTGGTGCCCTATCTACTGAGCTATCAGAGCTGCCCAAATGCACAATTTTCTATCCTGTAACTCCACTTACAGGCATTTATCCTAAGAAAAAATTGTTGATGTGTAGATTAATCTATAAAGATGTTATGAACTCTCAGCATTATTAATAATAGAATAAAGAATGGCCTTGCGGATTTATCTTAAAAAATGAAACAACTTTATAAAAATTTTTTTCTTTACATTTATCTAAATTTAAGTTATAACCAGAAGTATTACATTAATAAAAAGTGTATGAAAAAATTTGGTTATTAATAGTATATTAAGAGAGCTGGTTTATTTATTTATTTTTTTTTTTGAGACAGAGTCTCACCATGTCGCCCTCAGTAGAGTGCCATGGCGTCAGCTCACAGCAACCTCAAACTCTTGGTCTTAAGCAATTCTCTTGCCTCAGCCTCCCAAGTAGCTGGGAATACAGACGCCCACCACAACACCTGGCTACTTTTTGTTGCAGTTGTTATTGTTGTTTGCAGATTGGATTCGAACCCACCAGCCTGGGTGTATGTGGCCAGCACTGTAACCACTGTGCTATGGGCACCAAGTCAAGAGAGATGTTTTTATAAAAAAAATTCATCAATTTTTCAAAAGGGCTTTTTTTTTTCACTCTTTTGATACTTAAATCACTTTCTTTTTTTTTTTTGAAACAGAGTCTCAAGCTGTCACCCTGGGTAAAGTGCTGTAGCATCCCAGCTCACAGTAACCTCCAACTCTAGGGCTCTAGCAATCCTCCTGCCTCAGTTTTTCTATTTTTAGTAGAGAAGGGGTCTCGCTTTTGCTCAAGCTAGTCTCGAACTCGTGTGCTCAAGCAACCTACCTGCCTGAGCCTCCCAGAGTGCTAGGATTACAGGCATGAGACACCAAGCCCTGCAAAATCATTTTCTTTGGAAGCACTTCACATGTCATCATAATCCTTGCTGACTGTCCTAATGTCAGTGTTAACTAGTCTATCTTTATCAACATCACGAACAAGAAGATCAGGAAATCCTGATCTTTTGCAAAACTTATTTGTTTTAATTAAACTCTTTGAGATAATGGCAGATTCACATCCAACTGTAAAAAATAATGCAAGAGAGATCCCACGTACATTTTGGTTTCCCCATGTTAATACCTTAAAAACTATAGTAAAAATATCACCCCAAGATATTAATAAAAGAATTCACCAATCTTATTCAGATTTCCCCCATCTTACCTGTACTCATTCATGTTTTGTGTTTTTAGTTCTAGACAATTTTATTCTATGTAGATTCATGTATCCATTTCCAAGGTACAGAAATATTTCAACACAGGATCCCTAATGTTGTCCCTCTATAATCACACCCACCTACCCCTCTCATGTTCCTGTCCCTAACATCTGGCAAACAATAATCTGTTCAGTTCTCTAAATCTGTCATTTCAAGAATGCCATACAAATGAAATCATATTGTATGTGGCCTTTTGGGATTGACCTTTGGCTCCCAAAATTCCTTGGAGATTTTTCCAAATGGTTTTGTGTATCAATAGTCTGTTCCTTTATAAATCTGACAAAGAGTTGATACCCCAAATCTACAAAGAACTCAAATTAATTAACAACAAAAAAAAAGAGCACACAATCCCATCTATCACCAGACAAGAAATATGATCAGAAACTTCTCTGAAGAAGATAGATGAATGGCTAACAAGCATATGAAAAAATGCTCATTGTCCTTAATTAGAGAAAAGCAAATCAAAACCACCCTGAGATATCACCTAACCCCAAGGACAATGGCCCACATCATAAACTCCCAAAGGTGCAGATGCTGGTGTGGATGTGGAGAGAAGAGAACACTTTTACACTGTTGAGGGGACTGCAAGCTAACATAGCGTCTTTGGAAAGAAGTATAGAGAATACTTGAAGAACCCAAATTAGACCTCCCATTTGATCCTGCAATACCATTACTAGGCATCTACCCATAAGAAAACAAATCCTTTTATCATAAGGACAGTTGCACTAGATTGTTTATCACAGTTTAATTTATAATTGCCAAGATGTGGAAACAACATAAATGAGGAACAACCATTCCATCAATCCAGGAATGGATTAACAAGCTGTGGTATATGCACACCATGGACTACTATTCAGCCATAAAAAAGATGGTGACTTTACATCTTTTGTATTAACATGGATGGAGTTGAAACACATTTTTCTTAGTAAAGTATCACAAGAATGTAAAATCAAATATCCAATGTACTAATATTAACACTAATATGAAGCCAGTAGACGATCTAATGCATGTCCACGTAAGAGAAGAACCCAATTCAAGTTGAGGGGAGAGGGAATGAGGGAGGTGGGAGGAAGCAGGAGGGGAGGGGCTTGGTGTGCTCCCACAATGCAGTGGCACTGGCAGACCTTTTGGGTGCAGGACACAAATATAGGAGGGACTCTGCCTAACATATGCAACTATTGTAGCTTAGTTGTTTGTACCCTCACATTAACCTGAAATTAAGAAAAAGTCTTCACCAATTTACATTACCACTAAAAGGGAGTGGTCATTTCCCTGAATCTTCACTAACATTCAATCAACACACTTTAAATACATGCTTAACTCATTATTTCAAGTTTCACTTCGCTCAGTAACAGTCAAGTGAGGCATCATTTTCATGTACAGAAGAAACTCTGTGAGTTGACCACCCACAGGACTGTGTAACAAACTGGTCAACATACAGAGGTGGTCAACATAAGGAAAGAGGCCTGCTGTACTGATATGTACATGTGGTGCATGTCCGGTCTATGAAAGTTAGGTCAACTTAAGGAGGCAGTCAACTGCAGATGTTCTACTGTATTTATATTTAGTGATTAAATGTATTTTTCTTCTGGAAATTGCTCATTTTTCTACTGGGTATGCTTTATATACGTATAGTGATATAACACAGCTGCATTCATTATACTTACTGTTGTCATTTAAATACATTTTTCAAAGCCCCTTCATATACATATATATATAGTTCAGTATCCTATGATAGGAGGCGTATTGTACTCAAATCTTTTCTCTTATAAAAAGTTAACAGAATGTAATAGTCACTTACCCAAGTCACCAAAATGAGCGGCCTCCATGTGGCTTGGCTGCTTCTTAAGTGTTGCTGTCCTGCTACTTGAAAAGGAGTCCATGTTGGCAGAAATGGCATTGATTGCAACATGACTTGGTCCCGCAGCCTCCAGCAAGGCATGATTTTTAGTGCTCTTTTGTGGGGAATGTACGGACACTGAAGCTATAATTTTTCAAAAAATTGTTAGGAATTAAACACAATTTGATAGTCTCACGAAAAGGTTTTCAGAGAACTTTAAAAATTAAATTTTGTAACGTTTCGCAACATAAAATACTTAAGAGGAAAAGTAACTTAATCAAGTGGCAGAAAATTGGAAAGAAACACCCTACTATCATTGATAACTAAAATACTGCACCAAAAGTGCAACTTACAAGAGGAAAGGTCTTTGATCACTATTTCTACTGAGGATAAAAAGCACCAAAGCCAGAAAACACTGTGGAACACAGACCTTTTGCCATTTCTTTCTTTTCTTTTTTTTTTTTGGTAGAGACAGAGTCTCACTTTATTGCCCTTGGGAGAGTGCCGTGCCGTCTCACAGCTCACAGCAACGTCCAACTCCTTAGGCGACTCTCTTGCCTCAGCCTCCTGAGTAGCTGGGACTACAGGCACCCGCCACAACGCCCAGCTATTTTTTTGTTGTTGCAGTTGGGCCAGGCCGGGTTTGAACCTCAGTATGTGGGGCCAGTGCCCTACTCACTGAGCCACAGGTGCTACCCCCTTTGCCATTTCTTAATCCTTCCTTGCTTCAGAAGCAAAACTAAAATTGCAGAATGCTTAAAGGAAAAACCTTAAGAATACTTATTAGCAAATTTTCTCCATCTAAGAAGATACATTGATGATCAAAGTTCAAGCTGTTTAATGATAAAGCATGCTTAAAATTCACAAATACATTTTTTGCAGTAATCTTCATTTGACTTCATAATAAAGAGGTTATTCACCAATGTGTTAATAGGAAACAATCAACTCAGTATTACAATACTGTCAAATAACCCTATGAACTTGTCACTACAGAGGAATTAAAATTCTACCTATCTGTCCTACAGAAGTATCAGTGACTGTTTAACTAAAGGTTTTTAAGAAGTTTTGTCTTAGTACAGCACTATAGCAGAAAGGACAGAAAAGACACAGGTCACTTGGCATGCTACTCCTCAAGATAAATACTCTCAGGTAACTAAACTTGTACCTACTAGTACCCCTTGCTTTATTGAGTAGTTAACAGCCAAGTGCTCTCGACCTCAGCAAACAGTTCTCAGACATACAATCCAAACAATTAATTTGTTATATTTCTTAGGAAGACTACATACTATAATTCAATCTATTGCTCTTTGAGATGTTTATAGGATTAAACAAGTAAGAATGTGATACCTGTTTTCCAAGTATCTAAATGTATCACGATTCAACAAGAACTGTGGAACTCTGTGTACAAGGGGTATCCAACCTTTTGGCTTAGGCCATATATTAAATACACAAAAACTAATCAAAGCTGATGAGCAAAAACAAAGGTCTGTACATAATTTTCATGATATCTGACACCACAGATAAGCAAAAAGTCCTCACAAAATTCATATACGGCCCATGGGCCACAGGTTGGACATGCCTGGCCCTAAACCATCAGATTTCCTTCCTTCTACTACAATCAGCTCTTGTCTTCACAGGCTTCTCGTTGCTAAGGACTTTCAGCCTTCATCAATGCCAATCAAATTTTGCCTTAGAGAAGGCAGTTTAAACTAATGTGGAATCCAACTGGCATTAAATTATCAGAGGACAATAGGCTGTAAGTTACACTACTTTTCCCCTAATTTTACAAATCTCCTAAATTAGTCTCCCCCTGGAAAACTGAGCATATAGAATAAACACCCAATGCTAGCAATACGAAATACATGCACTGGAAATAAAAATCTAAATAAGGAGCAATCTACAGATTTTATGTAAATAAATTGTATTTATAAAATTTATACAAAATCATTACAGAAACAATTTCCATTATGATTTTCCCATTCTAATCTCTGTACACTGGACATAATGAAATCAATAAAAAATTTAGCAGAGATTATAATCTAAAAAAAGCATATTCCGATCTATACATGCAAAAGTTTTGAGACAGACTGTGTTAAAGTTATTTCACTTCCAAGAAACACAGTCAACAGTATCCCTTCTGATTCTCTCATGAAGTTCCAAAGTGCTCAGCTCATCAGTGCTGCTGGAAGGGCTGCATTTATTTCTGTCACGTAGATTTCACATTTCCTGATTTTTGAGTATCTCAAAACTTTTGTAATGATCCAGGTAAATAAGAACAATGTATTGATCCTAACAAACTGCTCTAAATAAATTTTAGATTAAGGTTATTTGTTCAAAGAAACAAAGAAGTGAAAAATGTAGTCATCCATATTTCTGAATAAAGGACAGAAAACCAAGCCTTAGAAGTGGGCAGTGCTTTCCCTCAGCTGACGGACTGCTAGTGGGAGCATTCTTCATTGTCTGCCTTATTAAGAGTCAAATAACTGCTTTCAGGGAACAATCAAAGGTGTGATTAAAGTAAGGGCACTGGTTCACTGAAATCACTAGGGATTGCCAGCTCAACCTAGGTGCAGCGAAAGCCAAATGTGCTAGGTGATAAAAGATATACAGGTTAAAGAGAAATAAGTCACAATAAAAAATACTTATAAAATAAGGCAGAAATGATTAATACCAAAAGAAGAAAGATGGTAACAGTGTTAAAGAGTCTGTAAATGCCAAGCACACCACTTTTTAATACAGTTTAGTGTGCTGCTGAACTCACCTCTAATGGACTTGCCATCTGAGGTCTTCTCTTGTTCTTTGCCTTTCACTAAAAGATAAAAGAGCATCATGACCAACTTTTTGCAGCCAAAGAGATCCATTCCATACATTGTAAAAATAAAAAAAGCTTCAGTTTGGTTTTTTTTTCCTTGAGACAAGGTTTGATACTGTTGCCCAGGATGGAGTGCAATGGCACAATCTTAAAGCTCACTGCAGCCTCCAACTTTGTTCAATTGAAGCAAACCTCTCTTCTCAAGTATTTTTAGCTAGGACTACTGGCCTGTGCCACCATGCCTGGATAATATTTTAATTTTTTGTAGACATGAGGTCTTGTTATGTTGCCCAGGTTGGCTTAGAACTTCTGGCCTCAAGTGATCCATCTCAGTCTCCCAAAGTGCTGAGATTACAGGTGTGAGCCACCACTGGCCAGCAAGCTTTACTCTAACTGATGATTATTCAAAGTTCTAACAGGGGAATGTAATTTTTTTTTTTTTTTCTGCCACATACTGGAAGGTCAGCTGTCTTGGGCCACACATTAAATACACAAACACTAATGAAAGCTGATAATCAAAAAAAAAGTCCGGGCATAATTCTCCCATATTTGATACCACAGATAAGCAAAGTAGTCCTCAAATAATCCCACAGGTGGCCTTCAGGCCACAAGCTGGACTTGCCTCAGCCTCCCAAGTAGCTGGGACTACAGGCGCCACCACAAGGCCCAGCTATTTTGTTGTTGTTGTCATTGTTTGGCAGGCTTGGGCCAGGTTCGAACCCAGCAGCTCTGGGGTATGTGACTGGTGCCCTAGCCACTGAGCTACAGGCGGCGAGCCTCTACTTGTGCTCTTAAATGTTAAAAACTGAAGTGAGCCTGGGTGTGGTGGCGCACCCTATAATCCCAGCACTTTGGGAAGCCAAGGCAGGAGGATCACTTGAGACTAGGAGCTTGAAACTAGCCAGGCAACATAGCCTGAGACTCACTCTCTACAAAATATATAAAAATTATCCAGGTGTGGTGACCTGTTGTAGTCCAAGCTACTCAGGAGACTGAGGCAGGAGGATCATTAGCTCAAGGCTAGGAATTGGAGGTTTCAGTGAGCTACAATAACACCACTGCAGTCCAACCTGGGCAACACAGCAAAACCCTGTCTCAAAACAAACAAAAAAATGAAAGGCTAGTAGCAGGAAATATTAATAACTAGCTCTCAGGGCATCCAATATGAAGTCAATTCATATTTGAGTGCCAGACATCCTGCTGGCTTACTAAAGACAGTGATATCGAGTAAAGTTCATATTCAAAGTGTGGAGACGAAAATGGGAAAAGTTAAGTAAGTAAGATCATTGCAGGTACTGATCACTGTTGTCAGGAAGGTACAATTTTAAAATGCAATAGGGTGAAGTATTTTGCATATAGTTTAAGGTTCCCTTACAGTCCTCTCAGCAGCATTTGCCAACTGACTACATCTTCCTTGAAATACTTGTCATGGCTTCCTTGACACTCCTCCCTGGTTTTCTAGCCACTCCTCACCTTATCCCCTTACTGACCTCTCCTCCTTTACCCACTGAAGAGTTTCTGAGGAAAAGGGTGGGTCCTTCTCTTCTTTTCCCTGCATATACAAATGTTATTTCCTGGCCGATCTTACCCATTCTGAAGGCTTTCCATACCACAGATGTGTGCTATAACTCCTAAATTTACACTTTCATACTAAATCTTTTTGATCTCAAATTTGTATGTGTATAGCTAACCACCTACCTGCCATCTCCCATAATTCCACTTGTCCAAAATGGAATGTATCATCTTTCCCCAAAACTATTCTTAATCTCATTCTTCATCCTCTCTCGTGAACGACACTATCATCCACCTTGTTACTCAGGCCAAAAATCTCGCAGTCATCCTTAACATCATCTCTCTCTCCTTTACCTCCCATGCCCAAATCACCTATCATCTGTGACCAACTAATTTCACAACCATTAACATACCTCCACAGTTCCACTTTTGCTATCCTCAAAGCAGTCTCCTACTACCAATCAGACTGCTTATGTAATATAATACTTCAAACATAAAAGAACAGACACATAATTATCAAATATGAGCATTCTGCTTTATTTCCTTCCCACCCCGCAAGTATTTTATACAGAGTTTAAGATTCCTATGAATCACCACCTGACCAGAGATAAGTACTACCCCAAATGAAATGTTTTCCTGCCATACATATTTTTAGACATTCACCACATATGAATACTTAAAAAAAAATGGTATTTTTCTGCACATTTAAAAAAATTACATAAGTAGTATTCTACACATATAGATGACTTGTCTGCATTAATGTAGTTACAGTTCATTCAAGCAGATCTAGCTTATTCATTTTAACTACTTAATTCTTTTATAAATACACCTTTTTTTGAGGCAGATTCTCACTATGAGTGCTATGGTGTCACAACTCATAGCAATCTCAAACTCCTGGCCCCAAGTAATTCTCTTTCCTCAGCTTCCCAAGTAGCTGGGACTACAGGCACCCTCCACAGCGCCTGTCGGCTATTTTGTTGCAGTTGTCACTGCTGTTTGGCAGGCCTGGACCAGGTTCAAACCTGCCAGCCCCAATATATGTGGCCAGCACCCTAGCCACTGAATTACAGGCGCTGAGCCCATACATACACCTTTATTTACCCATTCTAAATGATAAAAGTTAGTGGTCATTTACATTACTTCCTAATTTTTGCTTACAAACATTGATGTGATGTGACATTCTAGTACATGTCTACTTATGGACATAAACAAGAATTTCTCTAGAATAAACCTAGAAATTTCTAGGTAACAAAGTATGTGCATTTTTTAATAAAGATGGGAGTCCATTTATACCTCTATAACCATGCTTCATTTTCTTATCCTTGGTATTTCTAATTTTTCCCAACTTATTAGTGTTGAAATGGTATTTGATGTTTTAAACTTATTTCCTGTTTCCTTTGAACTTACATCTTTTCATGTTTACCAGCCTTTCGGGTTTCCGCTTTTGTGAACCTCCTCACTGTCTTTTACTTATTACTTATAGCAAATCCACACACATTCTAGATGTTAATTCTCTGCTGTTTCCATTGCAAATATCTTCAGTATACTTTATAGTTTTTAATGTAGTTAAATTTACATCATATGGATTGTATTTTCCTGTACCTTACTTTTAAAAATATCCTTTGCTATGCCAAGATCAGATTTTTCCCCACTACATATAATTTCAAGTTTTGGTTTTTCACATTTTGGGCTCTTAGCTACCTGAAATTTACTTCAATAGATCAGGGATTGGCAAACTACACAGCCCACCACTAGGTTTTTTTAAATAAAGTTTTATTAGAGTCCGCCATGCCCATTTGTTTACATACTCTTTACGGCAACAAGGACAGAAAACTGTGATGGAAACCACATAGCCTGTAAAGCCTAAAACATTTACTGTCTGGCCCTTTACAAAAAAAAATTAGGTAAGCCCCGATATGTATGAGAGAAAGTAGGTAATGTTTTCATTTTTTCGCCAGCTGGAAAACCAGCATCATATACCACTTAGTCTATCTTCTCTCAACTGACTAGGAACTCTTTTTATATACCAAGTTTGCGTACATACTTGGGACTGTTTCTGTGCATTCATTTTGGAAATACACCACAGCTGGAAGAAGGGAAACCAAATGGAAGACTAAAACAAAATAATGCTGCTTCCCTGATGTTCATAAAGCTAGTTTCTTCTTGAAATTTAGCCTGAGACTTGAATGTCATCTCCTCAGAAGACTTCCTTAACCACCCAATCTAAACAGAGATGACTGCCCAGACCAGGGTGTTGTCAAGGATGGTAGGAAACAGTTGGATTTGGGTATGTTCTCAGTGGACTTAACAGATTTGCTGATTAGTCAGACATAGAGTAAGAGAGAAAAAGAGGTTGAAGGTTGTACTAAATTTTTAGCCTGAGCAATTAAAGGGCCAAAATGCCATCTACTGAGAAAAACCAGTGAACAGGTTTCGAAGGAGTAAATACAAAACAAAATTTTAGATATGATAAGTTAAAGGTATCTGTTAGAGATATAAAATGGACCAACAGTTGGATATACCAGTTAGGATTCAGAGGTGAGGATCCAAGTATAGGTAAATTTGGGAGTTAACATATGGATCGTATTTAAAGTTAGTATTTAAAGTCTGGACAAGATCTGTGATAGGACCGTCTCCAGCTTCTACTCTTGCATGTAGAATGATCTTTTTAAAGGATAACAGATCACTTATTTTAAAAGGAGTCATCTAATCCTAGCACTCTGGGAGGCCTTGAGCTCAGGAGTTTGAAACCAACCTGAGAAAGACCAAGACCCCATCTCTACTAAAACAACAACAAAAACTACCCAGGCATTGTGGCTCACTCCTGTAGTTCCAGCTACTCAGGAGTCTTAAGACAAGAGATCGCTTGAACCCAGGAGTTTGAAGTTGCTGTGCGCTAAGCTGATGTCATGGCACTCTAGCCTGTGCAACAGAATGAAACTGTCTCAGAAAAAAAAAAAAAAAAAGAAAGAACAAACAAAAAAGAAAAGGAGTGATCCTTTTGCATTTTTAAAATAATTCTCTTTGTGCTTGTTATAAAATCTAACCAAGGCCTATACAACTCTCAATCATCTAATCCTTACTTACCCATATGCCTCAGTCACAATTGCCTTCTTTCCTTTCTTGAAGGGCACCAAGCTCTTCTTGCCTTTGAACACTGTTATTCCCTGTGCCTAGACTGTTTTTCCATGGTCTCTCTAAAGTTACCCTGCCTACTGATCCTTAACTCTTAGGTTTCCAGGTTACCTGCTGAAGCCATTCTCTGACATCCAATCAAAAAGCTTTCTCCTCTTAAATGTTTCGTAACTCCTCCCTTGATTCTTAAATATACACCATATATTCTCTCACACACATACCCACACAGAGAGATTTGTTTATTTATTGTCTGTCTAGCCCAGCAGACAACAAGCTCCCTTGGTCCAGAAACTTTGTCTTATTCACTGCTCAATCTTGAGGGCCTAGTACAGTGCCTGACAGACCTCAGACACGCATAAATATTTGTTAAATAAATAGCCTCTGGTGCAACATGCAATTTGCCTCATTATTCTTTTTCTAAATAAACCTTTTGCATTCATATGCTTTATTATTCTTGTAATGCTTTTTCCCCTTTTAAAAAAAAAAGACCAACCCCTTCAAAATGATCAAACCAGGGAGCTATTAATAATATCCCTTACCTTACCAATAAAGCTTCCTATCTTAATTTTGCCAGTTTCATTCATTCAGCACTGTTTCATTCACTCATAACCTAGCATCGCTTACCAAAATCTTGTACCTACTGAATAGGAATTCTTTAAAGTTAGCCAGGGCTAAATAGGCCTTTAAGGAATCATCTAATTCTGAGTTGAGAGAGAATAAGTGTGACTTAACGGGTCTATTCCCAGACTACAGTTGGTAGGAGAGCTGTCATGTGAACCCAAGACCTTGATTTCCTTTAGTGCTTTTTCCAAAACCAGTTTCTGTCTGGTACCTTTTCTCTGAAGCACAAGAACTGATAGGACTACGATCTTCCAAAGATCCATACTTGTTCACTTTGGATATGTTTTTAACTAAGTACAACAACTTTACCCAGGATCAAAATCAAGCTGCCTTTACTTAAAAACTGTAACAACTGAAAATCAGAAATATAAGCAGTTCATTTATAAAGTTAGGGTTCCAGTAATTAGTAAGTTTGCTAAGTCAACAAAAAAAGTAGTCTTCCTCATTGAGGAACTTGAGCAATAAGTAATTTTATTTCAGAAAGAGCTGTAACGCCCTCCCTCCTAAAAAACGAGGAAACTGGGAAATAGACCTGGCTAGATAAACGATTTTTTCACGTTTTGCTTTTTGACATAAAATCCTTAAGATTCGGACAATTCAGACTTCGGTAAAAGGCACTACATGGATTTCCTTGATCTTGATCCACAGTGGGCAAAAAAAAATCCAAAACCTCAAAACCCAAGGAAAGCTATTCTTAAGCTAACACTGAACTTCCCCAGGTTTCAGCAAACACTTCTGGACCAGCGCGACTATCCCTGTGACCTCGCGCGAGGTGGACACCTTCTCCCTCCCTGCAGGGTCCCAGAGCAGAGCAAGGTACTCGAGGGGCGTCCGCGCGGAGGCCGAGAGGCTGACCGGGAGCCTTGCCGCCGCCCCGGAGGAAGGAAGCCCTTGCAGGCCCACCTGCCCCACGCCGCCCCCGAGGCCCGGCCCGACTCCCCGCCGGCGCCCCCTCAGCTACCTTTCCGCCGGAAGAAGGACATGGCGGGGCCCGGGTCGGGGCGGAGAGTGCGGGGGGACTGTCGCGGGGAGGGCCCGGCTCCCCTCATTCAGCAACTGGCCCGGACTTCCGGGTCCGCAGAGGCCGCTGCACTAGCCCGAAAACAGACCCCGCTTCCGGGTGTAGGTCCCACCGCCTCCTCTAGCTGCCCAGGCAGCTCCTGCCGCCATATTATCAACAAGCCGCCCGCCCGGAGTTCCGGTCCTTCCCCGCGCGAAGCTTCACGGGAGGCCCAGCCGCCTGCCCCGCCCTCTCCCGGGGTGCAGGGCCGCACCGCCCACGTGACCTCGGCGCGTGCGGCCTACTTCCCTGCCGCTTGCGGCTAGCGGCGGTCTCCGCTGCGGCTCTGTGCTGCCTGCTGCCGTCCCTCGGCGGTCTCCTGCAGACCCGAGCTCTGCAAAACTAACCCTCCCGGAGCGGGAGACCTCCGGGAGCTGGGGAGGCGCTCGCCACACGTCCGGGGCGCCTGGCCGGTGGCCGCCCACGGAACGTGCCCTTGTAAATGGTAGGGTCACCCGGCCACACTCCGGAGTGGTCCCTCCGATCTGCGTTCGAGTTTCGTTAGAAGGCGCTGGCGGCCCCAGGCATTGCTCCCCTGCACCCCGCAGCCCCGGCTTCCCCAGGGAAGCAGATCGCCCCGGCGCTCAGGTTCGCGGCGAACCAGAACCCTGATGGGGAATGGGAGGCACAACCTGCTGTTGGCGGCTCCGGTGGCTCTCTGGGTCCCAGTGACCTAGGGAATGAAAAAAAGAAAGTGGATTTATTTTCAGAACGGGATTCCTGCAAAAGCCCAAATTTGTAAGGGACGGCAACATACAAGCCTCTCCAATATTTACAAGGCAAACCCCGGTGTATCGTCCTTGTTCACATGCCATTTTTTTGTGAATCTTTGAGACTAGGTTCCTTTAGACACCTTGTGGCAGCTCCTGTGCAGGGGAGGGATTGGTGGGGAGTAGGAAGGTAATAGCCACTCAATGAATGTTCGCTGCGGGGTTTTGATCTTATGTAAACAGGAAAACTGAGTTACAGAAGAAAAGGCAATTTGCCCAAGATTGTTCCTGGTGTCGGGGTTTAAGACTAACTAGAACTTGGGAGGCTGAGGCAGGAGAATCGCTAAGACCAGGAGTTTGAGGTTGCCGTGAGCTGCGACGCCACACCACTCTACCCAGGGCGACAGCTTGAGACTCTGTCTCCAAAAAAAAACTAACCAGAACCCAGGATCTTTTCACCATATTATTAGAGTAGATGAATAGGTTTATCTGTTTCACTTACAGGCATGTTTGCAAGTGCATAAAAGTTTACCAAGACTGATAGTTATTGAAAACTTACTAAGTGCCCCAGCCCTGTGCTAAACCCTCCACATTAGTAATAGTCCTTAGTGTCGGTCTTGGTGTGGGAAAAACTAGGCACAGAAAAAGTCACCTGCTCAAGGTCACAAATTAACCAGAGGCTAGTTCGTGTTTGTTGACTGCTTAATTGGTTGAAGCAGGAGGAACACAAGGGAAAAAATCCTTCCTTATTTTCTGGAAGCAGTATCTTTCCCAACTTCCAGTCAAGCCTCTCCATTGCCAATAGGCAATTATTCTGAAATTGCCTTCATCCCCCCAACAGCTGAATACATTCCAGTCACAATAATGGCCATTATTTATGAAGCAATTAATTATGTGCCCTCTAAGTACTGAGTGCCTTATAATCCTGATCTCACTTAATTCTGCAACCTTGCTCCCACCCCAAAGTGAGACTCTGTGAGCTGGCTGCCATCCTTATCCACAGTTTACAAATGTGGTCCTAAGGCTCAGAGTAACTCACCCAGGATCACAGGCTAGTAAGTCAATCTGACTCCAAAGCCAGATTTCTCTCCACCTCCAGCCCATTGTTCCAGAATAGGGTGTATTGGGCAGGTACGAGGAAATGCTTGATACTTAGCAGTGCAGATTCTTCAGTGCCTTCTGAATCATCACCCATTAAAGAGTTTATATGCTTAGGATGCTTCATGTTAAGAGTATTGTCATTTAATCTTTTGGAATTTGATAAGCCACATGTGAATAAAGTTAAAACAAGAATATAAAAATAAAGGAAAATATTCTGCTGGGAGTGGTGGCTCACACTTGTGATCTCAACACTCTGGGAGGCTGAGGCAGGAGGATTGCTTGAGCTCAGGAATTGGAGATCAACCCCAGTGAGAGCAAGACCCTGTTGCTACTAAAAAAAAGTAGCTAGCCTTGTGGTAGGTGCCTGTAGTCCCTGCTACTCAGGAAGATGAGGTAGGAAAATCACTTGAGCCCAAGGGTTTGAAGTTGCTGTGAACTCTGACTCCATGGCACTCTACCCAGGGGGAAAAAATAAGACTCCGTCTCAAAAAAAAAAAAAGAACATTCCATTAGTTTGAATATCCAGTCATGGCAAACTGATACTCAGCATTGTATTTTCTTTTTTTTTGAGACAGAGCCTCAAGCTGTCCCCCTGGATAGAGTGCCATGGCATCACAGCTCACAGCAACCTCCAACTCCTGGGCTCAAGCGAGTCTCCTGCCTCCGCCTCCCAAGCAGCTGGGACCACAGGCACCGGCCACAACTCTGAGCTTTTTTTTTTTTTGGTTGCAGCTGTCCTTGTTTGGCGGCCCGGGCTGGATTCAAACCTGCCAGCTCAGGTGTATGTGGCTGGCGCCTTAGTGACTTGAGCCACAGACAATGAGCCAGCATTGTATTTCTAAATTAACTTGTTAGAGTCACTTTAATTTACATATAAAATAAAGCAAATTTTTACCCCAAGGAGTTTCTTTAATTATGCTCCTAAATTTAAGGGAATCCTCACAGCCATTTTATACTAGTTAGATTAATTACAACAAATATGTGAGGTAAAATCAGTAAGTTAGTTGTCACAAAACCAGTGAATAAAATTAATCTCCAGTGACACTGTTTAGTAGAGAACAGTTTTCTACAACAAACATTCTAACAAATGTAGTTTCTACATCAAACATTCATAACATTAAAAAACTATTCAAACAAATCTTTTGATACTATAGGAAAGCTCCTTGGTACATTTTAGTAAGCAGATATAAACAAACTCAGATTTATGACATCAAAATTGCGAATCCTATATATGTTGATAGAACTTAAAATTCTCATCAGCTGTCTAAACAAAGATGAATTCTCAATCCAATCTTTTACATTATCAAAAGCATTTGAATCAATAGATTTGTGAAATTTATTTCTGAAAAAATTCTGGGGCGGTGCTTTGGTTCAAAGGAGTAGGGCGCCAGCCCCATATGTTGGAGGTGGCGGGTTCAAACCCATCCCCAGCCAAAAACTGCAAAAAAAAAAATTCTGGCTTTTTCTTTTTTAGACAGAGTCTCACTATGTCACCCTGGATAAAGTGCTGTGACGTCACAGCTCACAGCAACTTTAAACTCTTGGTGGCCATATTTTGTTGCAATTGTCATTGTTCTTTAGCTGGCCTGGGCCAGGTTCAAACCTGGCACCTTTAGGTGTATGTGGCTGGCACCGTAACCACTGTGCTACAGAGCCAAGCTGAAAATTCTAGCCTGTGATTTCAGCTATAATGAGGTCAATTGCTCCTGCAGTCTGTAAGTGTGCCAGATGAATGAGATTTCATTGCACATTTTGCCCATTAAAGTAAATCAAAACAAGCAGAAGATTATAATGATAATAATCTCTTAAATTTGTATAACAAAGAGTTCCATTTCTATTAACAGTCAAATAGGTAATTTGGAGCAGCCACATGTTAAGGAAAACCAAAAGAGATGAAACCAAATATTGAAAGACATTGGGGCAGTAAGATCACGAAGAATTTCTGGGTAAAGATGGAGAAGAAAAATGGAATCCAGAGAGTTAAGTCCTGCATCTGGGGCTTCTTGCTCTGGAAACTTTGGATGTTTATGGGGAAAAAAAAGATAATAATAAGAGAAGCTTACAAGAATGAGAAGCTGAGTTAGTGATGCTGTTGATAGCATCACAGACTCGATACAAAAGTGGAAGTCCAGGGTGTACTTTGGGTCAAGATTCCAAAAAGCTGGACCAGAAGTAAACTTGCCCTTACAGGGATGGCAACCAAATTTCAAGTCATCTGGGTAATCCAGAAAATCTTACTCCCTAATAGTAAATTTGGAAAGTCTGGACTACAGTGTCCCTAGATACCAAGTAGAAGCAAATTAAAGTCTCTTGAGATGAGATAACATCACCCAAGTTCTCAAATTATTGCAACAATTTTTCAAATAACAGTGTTGGGCATACAGTCACAGATGTCCAGGCACAGGAGATAGGACATTAGGAACAAAAGCCAAGAGAAATGACAAGCAATAGAAACAGTCACATGGGACCTCCAGACAGTGAAATTGTCAGACACAGATTTTAATGTAACTGTTCTTGCTCTATTCAAGGAGATTAAAAAAAGATTGAAAAGGGGGACAGAGAATTGGAAATTATAAAAACTGACAGATGAGAAGAAGTAGCTAGAAATTCTAGAACTGAAAAACAAAATAAACTAAAAACTAAATAAACTTCTCTGTACAAAGAGTTATAGCCAGAGAGGGAATTTGTGAAATGGTAACTAGGACAGAAGAAAATACCGAGCATGAAGCCTGCAGTGAGGGTGAGAGTCGTAAGAGAATATAATGAGAAGGTTTACCAGATGTTTGATCACAGTGCAGAAAAGGAGAAAGAATTTAGCAGGGGAAATATTTGAAAAACTAGTGGCTGATGATTTTCCTGAAAGGATAACAGAAACCAGCCTACAAATTCAAGAATCAGTATGAACTGAAAATAAATAAAAAGAAATCAATCCATAGATCGTTAATAACAAAGCTTCAGGAAATAAAAACCAATAAAAATCTGGCTTGGCACCCGTAGCGCAGTGTTTATAGTGCCAGCCACATACACTGAGGCTGACGGGTTCAAAACCGGCCTGGGCCAGCTAAACATCAATGACAACTGCAACAAAAAATAGCCAGGTGTTGTGGTGGGCGCCTGTAGTCCCAGCTACTTGGGAGGCTAAGGCAAGAGAATCGCTTAAGCTCCAGAGTTTGAGGTTGCTGTGAACTGTGACGCCATGGCACTTTACCAAGGGTGACATAGTGAGACTCTGTGTCAAAAAAAAAAAGAAAGTCTCGCCCCCAATCTTTTTGATACAGGGTTTCTATCACCTAGGCTGGAATGCAATAGCACAATCATAGCTCACTCTAACCTCTAATTCCTGGACTCAAGCAAT